AATGTAAAGATTAGAGTGAAAATTAATGAAATAGAGAATAGAAAAACAGTTGGAGAAGCCAAGAATACCAAAAGCTGATTTAAAAAAATTAGCTAGACTGACAAAGGAAAAAAAGAGAAGACCGAATAACTATAATTATGAATGAAGGAAAGAACATTAATTCCAACCTCACAGAAATAAAAGCATAACTAGGCTATAATATGAACAAGTATATGCCAACAAATTAGATAACCTAGGTAAAATGGAAAATTTCCTAGAAATACACAAACTACTGAAATGTGTCAAGAAGATATAGACAATCTGAGTAAGTCTTTGTCCATTATAAATTAGTAGATTTTAATTTTTAGAGAATTTTTACACTTACAGAAACATTGAGCAGAAAGTACTTGTTCCTCTCTTCCAGTTCTCCATCAGTTTATTCTATTATTTGCATATTACATTAATGTAGTACATTTGTTCGAATTGATGAACCAAGATTGGCACATTATTATTATTAGTATTGATGTAATATATCTCCCATTACAGTATCATATACAATTATTGTACTGCCATGAAAGTCCTTTGTGCTTCACGTATTCACTTCCCTCTCCTCTCACTTCTGAGCCCATGGCAGCCACTGATGTTCTGTTTCTATAGTTTTGCCCTTTCTAGAATGTTGTATTGTTGGAATCATAGTATGCAACCTTTCAAACTGGCTTCTTTCACTTATCAATATGCATTAAAGGTTTCTCTTATGTCTTCTTGTGGCTTGATAGCTCACTTTTATCACTGATTAGTATTTCATTATCTGGGTGTGTCACATTTTATGTACTTATTTATCTAGGTATGGTCACACACTTGGGGGTTTTAGTGTGGCTTGAATTCATTACTTGATATTGTTTGTTGATTTTGAAAATGTCTCCGCCATTATCTTCAAATGTAATTTCTGCTTCATTCTCCTTATTTTGTTCCTTCTGAAATTCCAATTACATGTATATTAGACCTTCTCACTGAATTTTCTTCCTCTCTCACTGTCTTACATATTTTCCATTCTTTTGTCTCTGTGTACTTTATTTTGGGTATTTTCTTCTAATCTACCTTCCAAATCTGTTTTCTCTTCACATCTTTCTAATGCATTATTAAAATGCATCCATTAAGTTTTAAATTTTTTAGTTCTAGATTTTTTTTACATAGTTATCATCGTATTTAAAAGCCCATGACTACTGCAGTATCTGTGGCCTTCATGGATTGTCTGTTTTTCCTTTTTGTCTTTTTCTCCATGTTCTCTTTTTTCCTCATATGCCCGGTTACCTAATTGGTTTTTTAAAGTTTTAAACCAATTTATTGAATTATATTGACATACAAAAGGCTGTACATATTTAATGTATAAAAGTTAATGAGTTTGGTGAACCTGGTTACTTATTCGTATGCATGCATGTGTATATGAGCTAGACATTGTGTTTGCAAAATTGTGTGTAGAAATAATGAGTGCCTTAACATAATGCTGTCTTGCTCTGGATAGGATTTATGTTTGTTTTTTTCATTCTTTTAGGCTCCAGGATTATTTCAATCTAGTTTAATGATTGAGATGATTCAAAGCTGAGTTGTAGTTACTGTGAGAGCCTCACTCCTAGGGTCGTGCCATTTGAAGTCTTGACCCCGTGCAAGGAGGATTGATCTTACCCTCATATGTTAGGAAGCTCTGATATCTACTCTATGTCCTCCTAGTCTTACAAGGGCATACTACTTATCAGAGGGCCTGGCTGTCAAATATTTTCTGAATGAACAAATGAACTTACTACCAGGCAGGCATTGTGCTACTCACTGAAATACAGATTAACCTTTGTCTAATCTTGAATGAATTTTAGAATTACAACTTCTAAGTATGAGTTTGAATACAATATCACTTTAAGCACCCTGTACTTACGTGACGTAACACTAGGATGGACTCTTCAACATACTTGGTATAAGTAATCTACAACCGACCTCTTTTTCTGAAACTCATGTCATGCATTTTCAACTTTATTGATTCTTTCCACTGTTAAAATATAATTCATCTTAAATGTCTCCATTTGTTATTCTTTTTATCTCATTTATTTAGCAAGCATTTTTTAAACATCTGCTATATGCCAGAAACCCTCTTACGTGTTGAAGTTATAAATATGAATGCCCTTAAGGAGCTTAGAGTCTAGTAGGGAAATAATGATGCTGTGCAATAATGGCTATATGGAAGACTGCCCTAGGGTGCTGGATCAGCAAAGCCAGGAAATGTTAGTCTTGAAGGACAAGTAAGACAGGTGATAAATTATGACTTAGGAAATTATTTTCCAGTATGTTAATGATATCCTAACAAGCATTTCAGTTTTTCTATTAGCTAGTTTAAAGAGGTTTTGATACATTTGTTTCCTTTGGCATGCTTTACCCAAAGGATTGGCAAATATTTTTTGTAAAATGCCAGGGAGTAATATTTTAGGTTTTGAAAGCCATAAGGTTTCTGTCACAACTACTCTGTCATTTTAGTGCAAAGGTAGCCATAGAGAATCCATAAACCAATGAGCATGGTTGTGTTCCACTGAAACTTTAATATGGACACTGAATTTGAATTTCATATGTCACAAAGTACTCTTGTTATTCTTTTTCTTTTTTTTTATTTTTTTTATTTTTTTTTAATTAATTTATTTACTTTTTAAATACATTTGTCTCTGCCTTCCCCCCACCTCTTTCCCTTGCCCCCTCCCACCTTCCCTCCCTCAGCTCTTCCCCTTTGGTTTTGTCCATGAGTCCTTGCTATATGTTCCTTGACTTTCCCCTTCCCTTCCCTTTCCCTGCCCCCCCCCTCCACTCTTGTCTCTGTCTTTTTCTTTTTAACCAAAAAAAAAATTTAGAAACCATTCCTAACTTGCTATACAGAAACAGGCAAGTGGCTGGATTTGACCTGTGGGCCATAGTGTGCCATCTCCTGTTTTAGGCTATTTATATTTAGAGATATTTGTATGTCCGAACTAAAAAAGTGTATATACTTTATCTTTCATCACAAAAGCAACACATGCTTGGTTTATTTTTTTTATTTTTATTTTTTTAAATTTATTTTTTCGAATACATTTGTCTCTGCCTACCCCCCACCACTTTCCCTTGCCCCCTCCCTCCTTCCCTCCCTCACCTCTTCCCCTTTGGTTTTGCCCATGAGTCCTTGCTGTATGTTCCTTGACTTTCCCCTTCCTTTCCTTTTCCCCGCCCCCCCCCCTTCCCTCTTGTCTCTGTTGATTTCTTTTCCTTTCAGTGTTGCTGGTCTTATTTTCCTTGCATCTTTGTATTGTTGGTTGGGTTCCACTTCTAGGTGAGATCATATGGTATTTGTCCTTCGCCCCCTGGCTTATTTCGCTTAGCATAATGCTCTCCAGTTCCATCCATGTTGTCGCGAAGTTGAGTAGTTCTCTTTTTCTTTCTGCTGCATAGTATTCCATTGTGTATGTGTACCATAGTTTTTTGATCCAATCATCTACTGATGGGCATTTAGGTTGCTTCCAACACTTGGCTATTGTAAATTGTGCTGCTGTGAACATTGGGGTGCATAGGTTCTTTTGTATTGGCGTTTTGGAGTTCTTAGGGTATAGTCCCAGCAGGGGAATCACTGGATCAAAAGGCAGTTCCATTTTCAGCTTTTTGAGGAAATTCCACACTGCTGTCCACAGTGGCTGCACCAGTCTGCATTCCCAGCAACAGTGTACTAGGGTTCCCTTTTGTCCACAGCCTCGCCAGCACCTGTTGTTTGTGGATCTGTTTATGATGGCCACTCTGACCGGTGTGAGGTGGTACCTCATGGTGGTTTTGACCTGCATTTCTCTGATGGCTAGTGATGCTGAGCATCCTTTCAAATGCCTCTGGGCCCTCTGTATCTCTTCCTTGGAAAAGTGTCTGCCCAGGTCCTTTGCCCATAAAAAATGGATTTTTTATTGGATTGTTTGTCTTCTTGGAGTGGAGTCGAGTGAGTTCTTTATATATCTTGAAGATCAAACCTCTATCTGATGTATCATTAGCGAATATATTTTCCCATATGGTTGGCTCCCTTTTCATTTTGCTGATGTTTTCTTTCACCGTGCAGAAGCTTCTTATTTTTATGAGGTCCCACATGTTTATTGTTTCCTTTATGTCCCTTGCTTTAGGAGACATATCAGTGAAAAAATTGCTGTGTGGGATATCTGAGAGTTTCCTGCCAATGTTCTCCTCCAGGACTGTTATGGTGTTGTGACTTATACTTAAGTCTTTTATCCATCTTGAGTTTATTTTTGTGTATGGTGTCAGCTGATGATCCGATTTCCATTTTTTGCATGTAGCCGTCCAGCTCTCCCAACACCATTTGTTGAAGAGGCTGTCGTTGCTCCATTTGATGCTTCTGCCCCCTTTGTCAACTATTAGATGCCCATATAGACCTGGTCTTATTTCTGGGCTTTCTATTCAGTTCCACTGGTCTATGAATTTGTTCTTGTGCCAGTACCAGATTGTTTTGAGTATAGTGGCTTTGTAGTAGAGTTTGATGTCCGATATTGTGATCCCTCCTACTTTGTTTGTCTTTCTCAAAATTGCTGAGGCTATTTGGGGTCATTTATGGTTCCATATAAATTTTTGAAATGTCTGTTCTATTTCTGTGAAATACGTCATTGGTATCTTAATAGGGACTGCATTGAATCTAGAAATTGCTTTGGGTAGTATGGACATTTTGATGATATTAATTATTCTAATCCATGAGCACGGTACATGCTTCCATTTTTTTGTGTCTTCCTTAATTTCTTTCTTCAATGTTGTATAGTTTTCTGCGTACAGGTCTTTTACATCTTTGGTTTGGTTTAAAACTAAACCATTTGATATCCCATAGTAATTGCTTAGAACCATTACTTTTTTTTTCTATGTATATATTAATACTTATCATAAATGGGATTATATTGTATTTACTGATTGGCACTTAATCGTGTACCTAATAATTTAGCCTTTTTGAATTGATTTTGTGCTGTTGTGTTTCCAAGGTGCAAAAAGCAATTGAAGAAGAAAATTGCTGCTTTGGGACTGTTGATACCTGGTTGTTACATAAGCTCACAAAAGGTAAAGATGATTTGAAGAATGTATCTCAAGTAACTGATAGAAATGATTTACCCAAAAATAGTAAACATTACTTTTTTTTTCTTCCTATATACCAGGCATGTTGCCCTTTGGTACCCTAGAAAGTACATACTATAATAAAGCTAAATTAATTCCAGATTTGTTGGAGGAGGAGGGTAATTTTAAAATTGTGATAAAACCTCAAATATAAGACTAAGGAACAGTCTTATTTTCAAGACTACTAATATTTGTGTTCGGTACCATATCTCCCACTTTGTAATTGGGTATAACTATAGGCAATTACATTGCATCTATGAACTCCCTTCCTCATTTTTAAACTTAAGGATCATAACGTGACAATGTATCTGAAAGTGCTTTTGTAAGTTATAAAAGTTCATGAAGATTAAGTGGGAAATTGCTTTGGATACTTTGCACTGGAAATATACATTTTGGAATAAATTTTCAGGCAAAAATTGGTCTAGGTTATAAACTAGGGATAGGTGTTGATACTATCTGATAATAAAAGATTATTTCCAATGTAAATTTAGGTTCTGAATTTGCCACAGATTTTTCAAATGCAAGTACAACTGGACTTTTTGACCCATATGAGGTAAAGGTTTTCTCATCCTTTTTGAATGGTCAATATTTGTGTAATTTAACTTGGATTCTGATGATGTGTTTTTATGTTCAGATGTGTTGGAGTGGCCTAATTACTTCTCTGCTTTCAATACCTCTTTCTCTCCTGCCTCCCGTGAGAGATACAAGGTAATAGTGGACATTGGACATAGAAACCAACAAAATTGTCCCTGAATTCATTTAGTGTTGGTGAGGAAAAAGCATTTGGTTAAAACTAAACAGTATTCAATTTACATGTTTGGGGTACCTTTATGAACATACATTATATAACTTTTTGGCTTATGCTAAAAACAATTGCCTGAATTTTAAAATTAATATTTCTAGGGCTGTAACTTACTTTTAAATAAATTTTATTTGAAGCTTCAATTTTGGATCAGTGGATGAAGAGATACTTGGTGTGCCTATACCAATAATGGCCTTGGTAAGTAGAAAATTTATTTGAGGGTTTCTCCTTATATAGTACAAAGTAAATGAATATACATGAATAGTTGGGATTAGATATGAGACAAAAAAAGGTTCTTGCAGAGTAAAATTAAAGTATCTTTTCTCTTCTTAAGTTAAAAATACCTTGTATATAATCAGAAGTGTATTCTATATTCTGGGAAGGGGACAGCTGGGCAAATCTTCCATCATGGAAGCACTTTATAACCTTTACTGACTTCTCTACATATTGTTCTTCAGGAAACTGTTAAATTTTTTTAAAATGTTGTATTCTGAGTAATGTTTGTTTATATTTGATATTTTGAGATTAAAAAAATACTGATAGAGCCAATGCTTAGTTTATATTTTATACAATGTAACCATAAATAATGATAGGGCAATTAAAATAAAGAAGTAAGTTGTATTTACACTTCATAAATCCTTAGCCAGCATCCAGCAGTAGAGAAGCTTGTGGAAGAGTGAACAATTACCTGGTTTTGGTGTTTGAAGGTTCTTTCTTGATTATACTCTTATTCTCTGGATGAGTGAGTCAGAACTTGGAGAATCCCAAAAATTTACCACATGATTGAGAGGCTGTGTGGATCTTCCTTTGATTACCAGTAATGGCTTAAGCAAAAAGTGTAGACTGTCTGTCCCTAGATGGGCATTTGCCACAGTAGGTGGCAGAAAAAAGTGAGGGGAAGGGAATTTAATTCCCAGGTTACAAATTCCTGGTCATTTAGAGAGGATCAGTCTTTTTCTCCCCGCCCCCGCCACCAAGAGATTTTATCTATCTATGTGATTTATTTGTTTTTTAGAGAGAGAGGAAGGGAGGGAGAAAGAGAGGGAGAGACACATCAATGTGTAAGAGAAACATCAGTTGCCTCTCACCTGCCCCTAACCCCAACGGGGGACCTCGCCCACAACCCAGGCATGTGCCTGGGAATTGAACCAGTGACCTTTCAGTTTGTGGGACGATGCTCAACCCACTGTGCCACACGAGTCAGGGCTATAGAGGATCAGTCTTATTTGATCTAGGGGTAGGCTCAGGTTTAGATTAAGGTATGGCTGAAAGAATTACCTATTGGTAAGGAAGATGAGTGATAAGTTTGGGTCTTTAAAATATTGCTGAATATGTATCTACATTTAACTGTATTAACAGAATGTATGGTTGGTAGATAGATGTAGTTAAGCATACCCTTATCACTCTTGCAAAAGACAAATTTGTGAGGTCAATTATTTGACTAATGAATGAAACCACTTGTAAGATGTTAACAAAAATCTTGGTCTTTTTTCTGCATAATTTTTATTCTGACTTTATTTCTAAGATTATTCCTATAATATTTAAAACTCATGAAGTAGGGTGGCCACTAAAAATTCCTGAGGCACATCAGTTATCCATACAATATTAGTCCCAGAGAGACTCTTATCCTATAGTTACTGCTCCCTGTTCTCTCTAGATTTTTTTTTTAAGGAAAAGGGAAAAAGAGAAGAAAATGCTGAACCATGAGAATACATTAACTGAGACAGTGGGATACAGTGAACTGGGCCATGCTAAGGGCCCAAAGTTGTTATGTTTGAACATTTTTGGCAGGTGGCCGACCAGCAATCAGCCATGTTTGGAGAGTGCTGCTTCCAGACAGGTGATGTGAAATTAACTATGGGAACTGGGACATTTTTGGATATTAATACTGGAAATAACCCTCAGCAGAACGTTGGAGGTAAATGATTAGAATTTATCCTCTTTATTAATAAAAATATCACTTTTGCATATTTAAGTTTTATGATACCATTTTCCCATTGTATGTTAAGGATATTCTCTAATATACTTTTCATTATTATTCTTAGAGACAGTTAATCCCCATTTCCCTTTATCTTTAAATTAAAAGCAGAAAAAATGAGAGAGATGTTATAGGAAAATTTAGAAGGATTAAGGTATTTTGGTTAGCTTTCCAAAAATTTGCTTTTAATATGTTATATGTGTTTAAACATCTTTCTAAGTCTCTAAAATATCTTTTATATGTAAGAAATTATTTTTCTTTTTGTGATTTTTTTGGAGGTGATAGTTCTCAACTAGTGATCCCTGCATATTATTGACAATTTTTAAGAATTTGTTCTCTCTAATGGGAGAAATCCTGGGACATATAAATCAAGAAATCTAGATTGTGTAACCACCAGGATGGCTTCCAAAAGCTCTTCCTTTTTCTCTAACTGGGAAAATGGAGGATAAAAAAAAATGTTGATCATTCTATGAGATTGTTTCTGTCTAGGAGGCTTGTTTAGAAACCAGATAAATGCAATAGATGAGACAGTTCTCAACCAAACCAATCTCATAATAACCTTTTATTTCTTAATTAAAATATTCTTTCTGTGTTTCCAGAAACATTGATATGCAAAGCTAATAAAAGCTAATATTTATTCATATTATATGCCAGGCATTGTGCTACATTTTTTAAATGTATTAATTCAGTTTATTCTCTGAGGCTGCTCTCTGAGGTAGACCATTTTAGCTGAGGAAACTGAGGCTAAAAAGTTAGAAACTTTTAAGGCCACAGCCAGTAAAGGAAAGAAGACTGGGATTTGACCCCAAGCATTCTGACTTTACGGATTTTTTGCTATTTTTTTAGTTAATTAAATTATTCCATTGTAGATGACTCTCCAGTGAATTATTTACTATATTAATTACATTGTTTGTTTTTAAGGCTTTTATCCGTTAATTGGGTGGAAGATTGGGCAAGAGGTTGTATGCTTAGCTGAAGGCAATGCAGGAGACACTGGTACTGCCATAAAATGGGCTCAACAACTAGGTAAGTCATCCTGTACACAGATGGCACAGGCCAGAATTAAAGGATGGCAGATCAATAGGGAATGAATGGATTGCTCAAATGAAATGTGAAGTAAACTGCCATATGCTGGAAGAAAATACAGAATGTTATTTTTAGGATATTAGGATAGTAAAAGGCTAGGTGTTAAGCCAGATACCGTAAAGATAAAGAAGAATAGATTTAAGTATATAAAATATTAGAGTGTGTATGGAGAGAGATGCCATAAAGCAAAATTAAAAGAAATATTGGTGAGAACTATGTGTCGCATGTGTCAGAAAAATTAATGAAGATAATGAAAAACAAGGACGGAGGTATAAGTATTTCATATATCAAATGATTAAAAATGCTGTTTAAATTAAATAATCAAGGAAATACACTTTTAAAAATGATGTCATCTATTATCAGAGTTTAATTAGTTCAGTATGCTCAACATCAGTGGGATTGTAGAGAAAATAATACTGTTTTCCATTGGAATGAATATTAATTAGTATGGCCTTTCTTGAGGACCATCAGGCAATATAATTGAATGCAGCCTTTTGTCCACAGCTCTATTTTTGGTTTCCTAAAGAAATAATTAGACAGGTGTGCAAAAGTATATACATACAAGGGTGTTTAATGCAGCAATTAGAAATATTTTCCTACCTAATAATAAAGTATTTGATAAGTAAATGCCAGTGTATCCATATAGTGGGACATATGTAAAAGGGGATGAAGCAGTTGCCTGTGTAAATATTTTTTGCTTTTTTAAAAGTAGCTTTATTGAGATACAATTCATGAACAATCTTTTTAGTATTTTCACAGAGTTGTGTAACCATTACCACAGTCTTGTATGGTTGGAATCATATAATATGTGGTCTTTTGTAACTCGTTTCTTTCAGCCTAATGTTTTTGAGGTTTGCCTTTGTTGCAGTATATGCCAGTTCTTCATTTCTTTTTATTGCTGAATAATATTCCATAGTATAGCTGTATTGCAGTTTATCAATTGATGTACATTTGGGTTGTTTCCTCCTTTTCGCTACTGTTTAATGAATAATGAATAGCCTGTATATTACACAACCATATTTTTTGCGTAAGTTGTGAGACGTTATATACCAAAGTATTAACAATGACTCTCTGATGATTAAATTATGGAGCAGGCTCCGACTTTCTACTTTGCTGTTTGAACTTAGCTGATAAGTTTAAAGACAAAAATATACTATACTCTAATAGAAAACATATACTCTAGGAGGAAAATGCCAAGCCATTTCTTCCTTTCTTTTTTTTTCTCTTTGTCTATAAGCCTTCATCTACATGATAAGTGTAAGATTACTTATTGAAATAAATTTTATTTCAAAGTTTTTTATCACTTAACTCTTCTCAAGTTTACTTATAATTTTTCAGATGTGTATCTTTAGATAACTCTAGATTTTCTGAAATAGAAACTATAGGTTATATATTTCTTCTCTGTTAGTTATATTTTTTATTAATTTTATTTCTTCTCATAAGATGCAAAGAAAAAGCAGAATAATTTCACGTTCATCTTTAAGAAAAGATCAGCCTCGAGTTGTATATGACATTACATGCATATGTCAGTGAGAACCATTTTCGCTACCCATCGGAGCTGAGGCTCCTCTGTTGTGATTCTCAAGTAATGAAAACTCCTTTCTGTGAGATAGAGCTAAAAGGCCCTGACCTAGAAAAGTGATGTGATTTCTGGTAGAGGCACAATACCCTACTAAAGGCCAGTTGCATCTCTGGCAGGAACACAGAATTGTTGGTTTAGTTGGAGGGAGAGAGAATTTAGAGTTGAATTATTTACTTTAAAATTTGAATGCTTGGCATAGCTAAACATTACTGGTATGTGTCTGTCTGAAATTCATACAAAAAGTCAACATCTATTTGAATATCTTTCTATTCTGAGAATTCCCTTTAATGGGTATATCTAAAAGTATAACTACAATGTATTCAGGAGAAACACAGTAAGTAAGAGCTTGAGTAACTGTCATTTCCTTGAAGGTGTGTAGTATGAGCCTTTGTATCCTTGTATGATATGCTGAGCTTGTTTCACTGAGTGGGGCTTCCTTCCATGTCTTTACTGGGTTGTACAACTCAGACTCAGGCATAAAAGCTATTTTAAACCAGTTTCATCTTGATTTTTTGGTGTATTTTCTTAATCTTTTTCACACAGTCCAGTTCTCTCTCACTTCTTTTTCCCTTTGGCCTCCACATTTGGGTCCCTATGTGATCATCTTCTTAATTTTTAATTTGGCTCATTTCTGCTCCCCTTTACTTTGTTCTGTTTTACTATCTCACTCTTATGAATATTTTTATGTCTTCCAGCTTTCTTTCAGTTAACAAGTGATTGAGTGCTCATTACGTGCCTAGAACTGAACATGCTAAGATACCAGTCAAGCCCTGACCTCATGGAGGTTATAGACATTATGAGCACCTGGAAGGACATAATTGTGGGATCAGTGATACCTTTCTGAAGAGAGGGCTTTGTCTACAGAGAAACCCCTAGAGAATCAGGGGTTTCTTTAAAGAAGTAATGTTGGAACTGAGCCCTGAAGAAAGAGTGCAAGTGGAGAAGGTGGGAGAGGCAGTTGGTCAAAGAGCAGTTCATGCAGACAGAACCAGTGAGGAAGGCCCTAACTGACCTATGTAGGGCACTGAAGGAAGTCCCTATTTCTGTTCTATAACTGAGGGAGTTTCCACCTCTGCTGTCCTCTAGTAGCATGAGTCAAGGGACATTTTTTCCCTAGCAGTGCCACTTTTAATTGCTACAGGTCACATCTGCCTGCCTCAGGCAACTCCGATAAGACTTCAGCACACATTTAAATTACCCAGAACTCTTGTTTACTGGGAACTTGTTCCTTCTCTCTGGGTATCTTCCCCAAAAAGCCAGTCTCCCTCATTAGAGGAGATGAGATAAACATTTTCTCAAATGTGAACTAATGTAGGTGGTGGTGAATATGCATGTTTCACTGCTAGTGAGCGGGCCTTTGTACAGGGGCCTGTCTCCCTCTTGTCCTGCTGGCATGACAGACAGTAAGCTGAGCAAGGCTCACCCTTGAGGCTGGAGTGGAACCCAGACATGTAGGGAGCCTGGAGTGCAAACATTGACTTTGTGGACCTGTCTGCTATTGTGAAAATGCTAGATCCTGGTAAGGACCCTCTAGATGTTCTCCATTGCAACCAGCCTCTTGAGCCAAGAGAAAATCCACTCAGCAGTGGAGAAGGAGCTGGCTTGCTCAGCCCTGGGAGAGCTTGCTAACAGTGGACATCACTACTGTTTCGTCCAAGCTGAGGGGAGAGGCCTCATCTTCCTCATACTTTGAGGAACTCAAACTCAAGAGCCAAGGGTGTTCACTTCCTTATCTCTCACTGCCTGCCAACCCCATAAGCCTGACCTGAAAGAAAACAGAGACTATTTAAGATCATAAAGCACCCTGAAGGAAGGTGACCAAGTTCAACTGAGCATAACAGGTGGCTCCTACAGATACAGATGTAAAAGGAGAAACAAGATTAAGATAACATCGACACATTGCTTACCTTGTATTAGGCACTGAGTAAGTATTATGAGGCAAAGAAAAAGACACCTGTTCTCAAAGAGTTTACAGTCCATTGGAAGGCAAGTGTGTGTTTTCTTATTGTCTTACGGTTGTGGAGGTGAGAAGTCTGACCAGGCTAAAATCCAGGGCTGCATTCTTTCTACCGAGTTTAGAGGAGAATCCATTTACTTCCTTTTTCTGGCTTCCAGAACAGGCTGTCTGCCTAGCTTGGCTCATGGCTCCTTACCTCAATCATTAAAGCCAGTAAAGTTGCATTTTACAGACCCTTCTTTTGTAATGATGTCTTCCTCTTACTCATGACAGCCAGGAAACATTCTGGTTTTTGTTTTTGTTTTTCTTTCCCCAAGACTCACATGATTAGATTGGGCCCACCCAGATAATTCTGGAAACTATCTCAAGGTTCTTAACACATCTTCAGAGTCTATGGGGATGTGCAGGTGGGCATTCGCAGGGATCATTATTCTGACAAACAGAGGGAACGTACACAACTTTAGTCAATGCATGAAATATTCAAATTTAAAAAAATGGGAGTTTAGAGGAGAGAGAGGTAACTGAATTGAGGCAGAGAGTAGAGAGGCAGAGGGAAAAAATGGATCCATCAAGTCAATTAACCATTTTTAACCATAAAGCTTTTTATAGCAGGTGAGCAGATAGTGGGCAGGGGCAGGTGAGAGACAGACATTTTCCCATTTATACTGAATTAAAAATCATTTCTTAGCCTCAGTTACGTTTCACCTTACTCATGGGATGTGACTTTAGGGACTCCAGGCAGCATCTTTGGTTTTACACCCAAGGAGTTTTGATCTGGTGTAATGACTTATTACATTAAAAAAAAAAAAATATATATATATATATATATTATTGATTAGGCTATTACAGTGTCCCATTTTTTTTCTCTCCCCTTTATTTTCCTCCACCCTACAACCCCCTCCCACCAGCACTACCTTCACCCCCTTAGTTCATGTCCATGGGTCATGCATGTAAGTTCTTTGGCTTCTCCATTTCCTATACTATTTTTAAAAATTTTTATTTTTAAATCATGTTTATTCTATTACAGTTGTCTCAGTTTTTCCCCTTTACCCTCCTCCACCCATCCCACCCTACCCCCATCTCTACAGTCAATTCCCGCTCTGTTGTCCATGTCCATGGGTCATTCATACATGTTATTTGTCTAGTCCCTCCTCCTTCTTTGCACTATTCTCCTCCTTCCCCATCCCCTCCGGTCACTTAGTCTGCTCCATGTTTCCTTGCCTGTGGTTTATTTTGTTTGCTAGTTTATTTTGTTGAATAGATTCCACTTATAGGTGATATCATGTGGTATTTGTCTTTTACTGGCTGGCTTATTTCACTTAGCGTAATACTCTCCAGTTCCATCCATGTTGTCACAAAAGGTAGGATTTCCTTCTTTCTTTCTTTTTTTAAATGCAGATT